GCCCACAGGGCCTCCCACTGTCCCAGGTTAGCCCCTCAGCCCCAGCCAGTCTCTACAATACTGGCTTCCCTTTCTGTTGCCGACACCCCCACAGCTGCTCACCAGACCCACTGGTCCGTCACACCACTGGTCACTGCATGTGCTATGAAAATCATTTAGGCAGGACCCACCCTGCTACTGAAGATCTGTGAGGCTGAGATTGCCCTTCCCCTGACGTAAGGGCTTTCTCAGGCCCCATCGGAGGGCAGTCCTCAAGCTGAAACAGAACCGTGAAGGAGAGGCTCATAAACTCCAAGCTCTCACAGCTGGGACTCCAACCCAAGCCTGGGCTGCAGCTGGAGTTCCTGAACTAGGCTCAGCCTCACTTCACCCTGGAGGAGCCGGGCGGGGATACAGTGGAGAGGGTCAACTAAAGGGTTCTGTTGGGATTCACCTATGCTTCAAATAGGTACCCCTTTTAGTGGGGTACAGAGCCTGAGCAGAGCCATGGTGAGAGCACCAGGTCACTGCAGCCACACAAATGTCTCCCCAGGAGAGGTGGGGCTGGGGCTGGGCGGCTTGGCTTGAACGTGCTGGGTACTCCAGTCTGGCTGTCGGAACCCAGGATAAAGTGCAGCATTCAAGGGACACAGGGCGCGCTTTGTGCAATAACACCCACACTCCCCCAAAGGGCCCTCAACCCCTCCCCTCCACTCTGTGCACTCCTCACCCTGTCCTGAGACACCCCCTCTGGCTGTTTCCAGGGCTTCTGCCCACATCAGGCCTAGAGGGAACAGGGAGGTGTAGACAGCCTTTGTTCCTGGCCTCTGGCTGCCTGAGGGACTGGAGAGGCGGCTACACTCCTCGTGGGGTGGTCTGGGGCCCCGGGAAGACTGGGGAGACAGCTGAGGCAGCAGGACAGGCAGGAGCAGCCAGGATGTGGGGACAACGGACAAGGCCCCTGCAGGGCCAGCTGGAGTTGACAAGTCCGGGTTCCTGTGTCCAGAAAGCAGGAGAATTGCTCCCCAAAGAGAGGGGAGGACTCTGTACACAAAAATGTGATTGCTTGGTTCCAGGACTACCCACTTTAAGCAAGACACAGACCCAGAAAATTCATAAACCAGGAGGAGGAAACATGGATCCAAAACATGAAACCAAATCCATGGAGATGTCGAGCAATGGCTTGTGCTGAATGTGGCTGGCCACTGAGCAGGGCAGGAGATGCCCGCGCAAGGCTCTCACGGCTGCACAGGGTGCCCAACACCCACTGAAGCAACACAGGGTGTCGGGTTAGCAGGAGAATACAAGAGTCCTTCCAAGGCAGGCTACAGATGGACACACCTGGTGTATGGACAGCCTCCTCAGCAATTCATGGAGGCCAGGTTCAGCTGGACCCATCCCCGGCAAGGCTGGACAGACGAAGCAAAACCATGCCACAAGGTCCAGGCCACATTGCCCGCAGCAAGGCTGAGAACATGGAGTAAAGCCAGGCATAGTAGCTCATGTCTGTTGTCCCAGTACTTGGGAGGGTGAGGCAGGAGGATTGATGCCAGGTCAAGAGCAGCCTGGTCCACAGGGTGAGTGAGACCTTGTCAATAAATAATAAAAGGAAGCCAATGACATCCTAGCACAGTTATCAAACTTTTAGGCAGGAGTGAGAGGGGAGCCATTCTGTGTGGCAAGAAGGGAGACCTCCACAGCTGGTCCCCGGTGCTGACAAGGCTAGCCTTGGCTACATGAGAACCTGTCTCAGAACAAAACAAACTGGGTGTAGTGGCGCACACCTTTAATCGAAGTTTGCCTTTGTCCCAGGGCCAGAGTTTGCCTTTGTCCCAGAGAAGTGGCTCTTCAGTTCCGGCTGGTTAAAGTCAAGGTGGCATCCTTTCTGTCAACATCTTGGGTGCCTACTCTAGATGCCAGAGCTATACTACATGGAGAAAGAACCGGGTTTGAATCCTAGCCTACAGCTCCTTCCCAATGCAAACTGGGGGTGGGGAGCAAATGGGTCCAACCACCTGGTATCAGGGTAGATGTGCTTCCAGTTAAGGGTGGATCGCAGTGGGGGCTGGAGAGCCGGGCAGATCCACCTGGCTCCCACTAGCCTTAGTAGGTTTTCCTAGACCAGATGCTCTCCGCAAGCCTTCCCCTGGGTCTACCTCAGGGGAGGGTAGCGGCCTCCTTCCTAGTTAACAAGCAGCCCGCACCCGGCCCTGTCTGGCCTCCTGGCCGCACACGGAGGAATTAGGAATCTGCACCGTCTGAAATTTATGAAAATCTAATCTCGTTAGGCCCGCCTGGTGGAGACCCGGCGGGCGGCCTCATTGTCATTCCGAGGAGCCCCAGTCGCTGGGGTTCCGGCCACTCCATCAACATCCCTCCCCCACTGGCTGTTGTATTTGAATATGAACTGGCTCCCCCATGCCCTTGAATTCAAGTAAAATTAGACCAGACGTCA